TACATAAAAACCCTGGGAATAAAATGGTCAAATTAGTAACAAAATAAAATGAAATACTTATACCGTAAACTTTAGCAAAGAATTACTTTACAAAATGTACAATACAATTTACTTGCTGCTGTATATAATTATCCATTAAGTCAGTTAACTTCTTAACTATGAAAACTAATAATTACAGAATAATGAGATAATCTCTCATAAAATAAATAATCAATGATATATGATTTCTCAACAAATGAAATGAAACGGAAAAAAAATCCAAATAAAACACACATAAAAGACAGTACGTCCACAACATAAGACATGCAGAACATACATATGACATACACAAAGACAAAACAAACACACACAATTTTACCTCACATGAGGTGTAAAGGTTATTTACTATATACTTCTAATCATGTCTAATATTGTATAGCCACAAGGTTATCTTTTAAAAAGATTGGTGAGCTAGCGCTGTAGCATAATGAAATACAGAAGAAGATATCTGAACCATTTGTTTAATTTGCTGGATCGATTAATTATTAATAGGAAGGCAGATTGGTGCACTGGGGTTTGAGTTTGGGGGGGGGGGGGGGTCACAAATCAGAATGGTGAAACTAAGAGTGTGCTTCACGTCGGCAATGGCATAACTCCTAACTGTGCTTTTAGCATTCTGTATTTTCCTGTAATTTCAATTTCGAGGTGAGTAGAACCAATGAGCACCTTCGAGCCTTTCCGGCAAGCTCGGAAAACATATCCGAGGTTGCCGTGGTTTTCCTAGCTTGCCGGAAAGATCCATGAAGGTAGATTAGAAAAGCTTGTATTCATTAAAACTTTAGAAATAACAGTCTTGGTTTTATAAGACCCGAGTTACTGTTACTTTTTGTTCATTTACGTGCAGGTTAGACAACAAAACACGAAAGTTCAGATCATATGTATTATCAGATGATAAACACTAAATTGACATGTCTTTCCGACATACTCTGAAAAAGATTTTTGCTGTTGTTGTTGTTTTTTTCCGAGCTTGCCGGAATTATCCACTAAGGTGGTAAAACTGTAAGGAAAGCTAGATGTCTAGAATCTTGGCATTATATGGCCAAATTTTTTCTTGTACTTTTATGTGTAGGTTAGACAATAAATTTAAAAAAATCAGAATCCGGATCTAGACTGGTATTGACTGTCTCTAACCTACGAAATGTATACATATCAGACAGGAAAGGCCAGTATAAATTCGGATCATTTCTAATTTTGTCAATCTCCAATGCAGAGTTGTCGTTCGTTCCTCTCTCAGACACGTGAATGTATGAGCCGATGGTAGAGAGTATAATTCTGTATGACAAAAACGAAATTGTTATCGTACAGTCTATCTACAGTAGTTTTCCCAGAAGTCGAGCATGCGTATTTCAGAAATATAGACTAACGAAGTTGCTAGCGCTCGAGAGCGCTAGCAATTAGGGCAATATCCTGCATATAAAACGTAGGGTCTATTTAATTTAACGATATGGTTAAAATTTGTTCTGGAACACGAAAATTGACTTTCTCATATATTACTCTTGAAATCTTTAATAAATGATAATTACTTAAAATATACTAAAGTTATCTGAGTACAATAAATCAATTAACTCAGTGTGCACACAATTAAATTACTCTAGCTCTCAAACTCCTAAATAATGAAAATGACGATATTACGTAAATAGATACTTTTAGAAAATTACACCTACGTACATTAAATTAAAAAAAATATTTACCTTTAATCGCAGTAGAATTTGATAAATATGTAGAGCTAATGTAAATCTGACCCTATCCTGGCACCTATGTGTAGCACGAACTTGTGCCTCCGGGAAAGGGAAAAAGGTAACCTAATCGAACTACCTGCGGTGCAATGAACCATAAAATTTAATAAGGTCAGTCTCAGGTCGTCTGTAGCTATAAATAGTATATTCTCTAAATAAATGTAATTCTTATAAAACTTATTATTAATAACAAGAACACAAATCATTTTATCATAGTAATTTTATTTATGATCACCAGTTCAGACCTTAAATGAGTTATATTAATTGATATTATACTTAAATATTTACAAACACATATATACTATAAAATACTGGCTATAACACCTCCGTTCAAACATGTGCCGCGTTAGTTTTAAGATTATCTCTTTACACACACACCACTGAGTTTATATATATATATTTAATTATAGATTAAAACTACAAAAAAATGCCGCTTCCTTAAACTTCATTTCCAGTTCTCCTTAAATGTCAGATTAAAAGGTTAGATATTTCATTGATATTTATAAAGATGACCTCCCTCTTCTTCTTCTTCCGTCTTTATCATAAAACTTTCTTGTATTAAAAGTAACGATTTTCTCAAATTTATCAGCAATGATATGTTGGGGACACAACATGAGTGAAAATATTTGTCATCGAATACAATAATTGAATCATTTTAAAATAGATTTTCTCAATTTTTACAAAATAGGAGCAGAGCAAACACGGACCTCCAAAACATCAGAGGTGGGATCAGGTGCCATGGAGGAGTGAGCATCCCCTGCCGACCGGTCACACTCGCCGTGTGCTCCTTGTCATGATCGGGAAATAACGGGAAAAAACGTCTACAATTCAGTGTGTAATAATGGCCTACCAATTAGAACGAAAAACGTCAGTCAGCATTTGACTCAATGATAAATTGTATTTGCTGACAAGGTCATTGTATCGACCATAGAACTTACGAAATGATGACTTTAAACGAGACTGCTGATAATCTTGTTTCATCAACTTGTTTGTCAATAATTTACCTCGTTTTAGAAATTGTACATACGTAGAGCATGCTCTTGCGTATCGAATCAACTGAGATATAAACCCCGTATGCAGGTGATGAAGGTATATTGCTGCATAAGTAAGGGAAGTTGACGATTGAAAAGTTAAAGTCATCACGTTTATCATAAAGCTTGGTTGTTAGACTACCATTAACGTCTTTTTCAAGTAAAATATCCAAATATGAAACAGTTGTGTCAGACTCTGTGGTATCTTTTATCTCAAGCTCACTGGGATATATCGTATCGACATAAGAATGGAAATAACCATTGTTAATTGACAATATGTCGTAGATATATCTAAATGTCGAGTTGAAGGCCACAGCAAGTGTTTTCTTCTTTTCACGTACAAGATTTTGGACAAATTCTGCTTCATATGAATACAGAAAAGGTCTGCTAATAACGGGGCGCAATTGGTACCCATGGAAATTCCAACAGATTGTTGGAAGACCTGGTCTCCAAAAACCACATAGATATTGTCAATCAGAAACTCAAGCATCCTTTTAATGTCAACTTCAGAGTACTTGTGTGTACAATCAGAATGTTTTTTAACAAAATAATTTTGCAAATGACCAATGACAAGGTAAGTAAATTTACGAGTTCCATTTTCATTGAAAAAGCAGCTGTCAATGATATCAATAGGCCTGGACTTTAATTTATCGTGGGGAATTGTTGTGCATTAAGTTGAAAAGTCGTAAGTTTTTAAGCTGTTGATTTTGGTAAAATCTTGTGATTTCAAATTTTCCAAAAGTTCCTTGGAATTTTTAAGTATCCACATCTGATTTACACCACTTCTCGAATATATTGTTGCACAGTACTCTTGAAGTTTCTCCTTCACTACTGTAAATATCTTAGTGAGGAGTAAAGAAAGAGGCTTGGTTGAAGATTTACTGGAACCCGCTATGAATCTTGTTTGTAAGGATTTTTATGAAGTTTCGGAATCCAATATAGATATGGCAATTCAAATTCATTTTGGTTGTTTGGAATATTAAAAATATTCAAAACTGACATATGATTTTGAAGAATTTCTTTTTTAGAAAGGGAACTATGAGTATAATTTGGATTACCACTTGTAGAACCAAGTCCAAGTTCCTCTAAAAAGCATTTTATATAATGAGCCTTACAAACAAACACAATGTTGTTACCTGCTTTGTCAGCAGAGACCAGTACGTACTGATCATGTAATCTTACAGGCACCAAACGCGTTTGAATTTTTGACCCCCTAGTATATTATAAAGAGAAGGTTATGAACTCTGCCATTTAATTTTGACACCCCTTCGATTCAGAAGCTATTTAATTTAACAAAACGGCAAAACTTCCACTTTTTCATGCTTGCAGTGAATAAAATAAACTCTCTTCTTATTTCATACCAATTTTCACCGCTGGATCCTACGTAGTTCTTGAGATGTACCCCCATGTCTGTTATTTCTAAGTAGGTCGTACATTTACTGGCAGGCCGATTTCTACTTTCGCTTCAAGAGTGAACATACTTAATGCACGATGCTATTACTATCATTAACATATATCAACAAGTAGAGTCGCAAAAGAATATAACTTATTCTATCTATGTGTTATTTAATCCATCATAAAGCCGCAAATGCAATTAAATTATTCGTTGTTTACTGTCTGTCTGTAACTTCCGGCCATTTTGTTTTTCCCGAATACCCAAATGAAAGATGTGCACTGATTGGACAATCGTTTGGCGGATTTTTTCGGAAGAACTTCATACTCATCGCTTATTTTCAACGTAAACTCCTATGGATATTGAAGAAGCATGGCTGTCATTACTTGGTATTCATTTATTGTTTTCAATTCGATAATGCTGTGAATTTTTTTTTATGTCAAGTTCGTTTGTTTATAGAAATTAGACAGAAATTGAATAATTTAGAGATTTTAGTCCAAATTAACAGTAATCAAAATTATCAAGTATAGTTATAGTGGCGGACTTGGGGCGAGCGCATCTGGCGCCCCATGTAGATTTCACAATACAATCCATGGTTCTATTTTGAAAGATATTTCTTATCTGATAAAGTAGTTTTATTTCTATATCCTTGCAATGCAGATGTAGCTGGGCGCTACTTCAAGGACTCTTTTTTTCCCCAGTGTAACACATATTTCATATGACTGTGTGTAACCATGCGCATGTTTGATGAAAACTATAAATCAATAGATAAATGAAATCTTAAGATAAATCAATAAATTTCTAACCTATTCAAGAATCACATCATACACACAGTTAGTGCTACATCTCGTCCCTCATAGTTCTCTCTTTTCACCCCCCCCCTTTCCCCCAAAGAAGAAGACTCAACAATTTACAAGTAAAGATATTTTCTTTATTATTCAGTATTCGAGTGTTTATGACTTGACAAGAATCTGCTTTCTGTGAGCCATTTTTTTTTATGTATGGACAAACATGAAAGAATATCTTTTCTGTACTGGTTTAACATCACCATCATGAATTTCTCAGTCAAAACTTTGTGTAAAGCTTCTATAGCATTTACTCTGTCAGTCATTTCATCTAAAAGAACTTCAACACTCTGTGACTGTAAAAATTCAGCAGGAGGGGAAAAATTAACTGCATCAAGGAATAATTGATAAAGTTTCCCATCACTATGTATTTTTTCTTTGCGTGCTTCATAAATACTGTTACCATGAATGTTTAAATTTTTCTCGATAAAAATACTTAAACACAAGTAACATACAGACATGAAGAAAAGAAACATTTTGTCTGTTATATTTGTAAGACCTGTTGAAATGTTCTGTTTGACAGCTGTCTCTACAAGTGTCTGGGGAATGGATGAAGTTGCACCAATTACAATTTCATTTTCTCTAAAGTTATCTAGGATCTGTATTATTGTGAATGCTTCATCATATTTTTTCTGATTTGAGTCTCCTATCTTAAAACTTCTTTGACGAAGAACTTAATTGTAGTGGTGTCTTTGCCACACAGTAACCCCCAACATATCTCACTTTCCCTAAGCTTTCTTCAGTAAGACTTCTTTTTTTAAAACATTTATCCCCAATTTTGTACACTTTTTCCAGCTGACCAAGAATAAACTTCCTAATATGAACAAAAATGTTAAAAGCAATGTGTGCCATTACCTATGGTGATACAGGATGAATTTGGCACAGGTCAAAAAACATCAGTAGGGTACATGCCTTAAATTCATCAGAAGTTTGAAATTGATGGCACTGTTTGAAAAAATATGTGAGTTTGTCTGCTTTTTTCTGCTATAGGATTTTCCCTATAAATTTTTAATGACTCCACACACTCGGTCATAACATTGAAAGTATGACTGCAAAATTATTTTTACATCATAGTCAAAATTTCCGGTCAAAAGTGTATCAATTACACAATTTGTTTGTTTTTGTACTGTAGTCTCTGCATCTTGCACATAAATATTTGTCAAAATTGTATGGATATCTAAGCCCGCGGGTAATGCAATCACTTCGGAATCATCAGTTTGAACACATTTAATATCATCTAGAATACTGTCAATGTCATCATGTGAGTCTTCAACATTCTCCGACGTGTCATGTTCCTGTGCAATTGGTTCAAGATGATAAATTTCTTCAAATGCCCTTTCATTACACCTGATTCTGAAAATAAATAAAATATGAATTAAGTGTCTGCAAAATGAAATCATACAATGCATAATGACAGAATATTGACATTTATAAATATGCTTTGAGATTATCTGCAAAATGTTATATACATGTATTACACATTCAATCAATTGAATCCACAAAGTCAATCCAGTTCAATAAATATTTAGTAAATATATAGTGTACATGTGTACCTCTAATTACTTTATGATCTGATTTAAAAAAAAAAGGTTAAGGGGGGTAATTTTTTTTCCTCCATTTGTTGCTTATAATTAAAATTTGCTACTGAGAAATATGAAAATATTTTAGATCCAAACTTTAAGATAATACATGTAATAAACTTCAACATAACATGAAAATAAATTTTAAAAAAATGTCATATCCTGAACAGAATGGAAATGGAATATACCAATGTATGTACAAGACTTTGCTACCCCAGAAACATGAACATTTTATATTTCTTCTTTCAGGCTGCTTAACAGGCTAGAACAAGAGGATGGCAGTGAACTTGACTTAAACAATGTGTTCCATCAATTCCAATTTCAAAATTTAGAGGGAAGCTCAGAGAATCCTGAAATAAATTTAGAGTGGTTTTCTAAGTACCTTAGAGCAGTTCTTCCTAATGTTGTTCTGAAACGAAAAACTATCAATAAGAAACAATTTCGAATCATAGAAAATATCAAACTTAAGTGTTTATCAGATCTTAGCAGAAAAAAAAATAGATTTTGATAAACTGGACGAGTTAATTCCAAGATTTGTTGTCATGTAAAAGAGAGAGAAATCTGTCTTCACATGTACTGTCATTTCAGGATGTAAAAGCAATGGGAATGATATCCATAAAAGTGCGAGTTTTAACCTTGATGGTACATGGCAATTGTCTGTTGGTGGGAAAAATGTTGATCTTTATCCTCTTTTGATTGATCCTACATACTGTTGTGAAAGAGACAACATTCTATCTATATTTCACGCAATTCAGCTTTTGAAAGTAAGTGAGGGAGTAACTACAAAAGCAACAGAATCTGTAATATGTACCCGGTTCCATACCACAGAAATGTTTCAAAATGAGTCAAATGAAAATAGGGGTAAGATTTTCAAACTGCGTTCAGTTTATGTGACAAAATTGTGCCACTTTTGACAAGAAACAAGAACTGTGTCCATTGTAGAAAAATGACATTTACAGAAAAGGGTAAAAATATAGATGTTCTACAAGAAAAAACTTTTGGCCCAGAAAAGGATACAGATATCATTGCTGAAAACTTTAAGAAGATTATTCCAAATGCACCAAATGAAATGATCATGCTTCTTGTTTGCCAAGCTAAGAATATGATGAGATATCCTGATGGGTACAGATGGCCCAAGAAAATTATAGCAACCTGTTTGCAGTTGTATGACAGAAGTCCTACTGGGTATGATTCTATACGAAATAGCAAGATGTTAAAATTACCTTCTCCTTCATTACTTATTCTCTATAAGAGTTCAGTGAAACAGGAAATTGGATTTAGGGAAAAAATATTTCAGTGGATGAGAAATGAAGCTGTTCACTTACAAATACCAGCAGAAGGATATTTTAGGGGCATTATATTAGACGAGATGTCAATCCAGGAGGACTTACAAATTCAAACAACAACAAATGGGGTGGAACTAGTGGGATTTGTTGATAAAGGTGAGGAAGCAAACATTTGTTCTACACTGAGAGAGGGAGAAAAGAAACAAAAAATAGGGAAACATGTACTGCAGTTTGTCTTCCTTGGGCTGACAGGGTTTAGGTTCCCCTTTGCTCATTTTGTGACAGATGAAGTAAGGGCATATGACTTGCATGCACTGTTCTGGGAGGCAGTTGACAAACTACAAATGCATGGTTTCACTTGCTGCTTTACATCCATGGATGGTGCTTGCTGTAACAGAACATTTTTAAACATCAATGTTATTAGTCCTGGAAATATGATAGTACCAAGCCCATGCAATTTTGAGGAAAAAGTAATATTTACTATGGACTATTCACATGTCATGAAAAAGATAAGAAATAATATTCTCAAAAGTGGGGTAACCAAAGGCTGTACAAGAAATTTAACATTGACATGAGGTGAAATGATTCAATGGCAGACGTTTCAAGACTCTTACCACTGGGATCAGAAGAATGGTCTAGAGATACACTGTGCACTTACAAATGAACATTTTTATCCTTCGACTTCCTCAAAAATGAGGAACCACCTAGCCGAGGATGTGCTGGACGACAGAATGCTCCACTTGTTCCAGATGTATCAATCATCTCTTAGAAATGGACAGTCACTAAATGGTGTAATTCAGTTACTTCAGAAAACATCCAAACTGGTCCAGATTTTTCGAGATGTCCGGCCCATTCAGAATACAGATGATCCAAGATTACATGAACTAATGAGTGTGAAGGTCTGGTTCGAACAGTGGAAAAATGGAGCCAAATCATCTAAAGAGCTCTTTTCTAGAGAGTGTAATGAGGATATTGAATCATGCATAAATGGATTTATTCAACTGTGTATTTACCTACTAGGACGTAAGGATGTCAAGATATTTATATCACCAGCACTTGTGAATTCAGATGTAGTAGAGAACACATTTTGTCAACAACGTTCCACATATAATGGACCAAATTCAAATCCGAATGCCCTAGAATACAGAAGAAATTTGAACAGCATAGTTCTTGGTCAAAGAATTGTTTCAAAGAAAGCCAATGCAAGTGTTAGCAATGGTCATCATGTTCAACCATATACGTTAAGCAAACCTGGTCCATTAAAAAGGAAATCATCAGAGAAAAAGCCATTATCTAGACCAAAGTGTATTAGAATATAAAATAAATATAAAAACAGAAAAAAAGTTTACATAATTTTAATGAAATTGGACTATCATTAACTGGAATAAAATATGAGAGAACTGAAAGATTTAAAATATCTAAAGGATGATCAAGAGTACCATTAACTTTGAATTGTATGATTTAAAAGCCACTGTAACCCTGTCATGACACAAAGACAACAATCATATACATGTATAATAAAAAAAATGATAATGACTGTGTTATTTAAATCACTCTGAATTAATGGAAACAAGTGGCCCATGGACCTTTAGTTGTCTCAGTTCATTCCGTAATTTGGACAATGAAGTGAAAAGATGTGTAAAGAGGTCATAGCATTCACATTAAAGAGTTAAAAAAGGAAATTGTGATCAGAAAAAAAGTTCTCTTCAGCTTTCAGCTCATGTCAGCTAAAATAAGAAGTCAATTTTGGTTTGATGTCAAGTTACAAAATAGGTAATGTAAAGTCAAATTCAACATCAACTTGTGTGTTGTAAATTATGAATTCATTGCTTTTTGGAGACATAAAAAATTTAATCCATTACTTTTAAAAGCTATTCAACTTACAATCCTAGAATATGTGAATAAGATTTTGAAATTTACTGTTATATTGTTGAACACTGTCCCATGAAGAGTAATCCCAATTTTAATATGTAACAGTTGTTGATAAAATATTGCATACATGTACAAACCTTGTGTTCTTACAACAGCTAAGATCTGCACCTTGAGGCATTGAGGGTGTACATGTATCCAGGAACATGAAAATGATAGACGGCAGAGGGATACAAGCAGTTTCATTAAAGTTGATCAGCCGCAGTCCTGATGGGGACTTAACTCTACTCACCCCTACCCCAAGTTGTCCTGGGGGAGAAAATTTGTTGGCAATCAATTTCCACAAGTTTGACTGGAATTTGCTTCCTCTCAGCAAGATTTCTTCGCAACACAGGACTGAATGCTGAAATAAAGTTCTGTTTTAATGAATCATAAACTTGAACATATTAGTAATTCTATTTTTTTACTTTAATGTCAATAATTAAATTTCAAAAACTGAATTTCTTATTGCAGCCTGGAGGACCGGGCTGCTCTATACATACAAGTTTAAGTGTTGGTATATGGGGATTGAGGTGGGAGAAGTTATTCAGAATTAAAGGTTTTCTAAACATTAAAAAGATTGTTAATCAGAATGTTCTTTCCCTTTATAAATTACGAGATACACAATATATTTACTTCTATAAAGTGAATCTGTAAAAATATATATGTTTTTCATATTTAATATTGAATATATAAAGTTGCTTATCATTTACTATCGAAAAAACGACAGGTCCCTTTTTTTAGAACATCGAATTTCACTTATCGCATAAAAACATACTTTACACAGCTCGTGTTTTATAATCTTAAGGTGAAAGACATTTTTGAAAATAGGTGATGCATGTGTCTGGTTTCAAATTATAATTTATGCAGCCAACATTTACTTGAGGAATTGATAAAGTTTAAAAGGGTATCGTTTTTGTTCGATTTTCATCCGACTATAAGTTTTCAAAATATTCTCGACTATCGTCTCCATCATATATACGCATGCCTTTTTCACACATATCGAAGCGGTTTGATGATCAAGACTCATTTCCATTGTTTACTTTATTTATTTCCCGGGCGACAATTGATGGTTACATCAATGTTTTCTTGTTTTTTATTGGATCAGCTGAGCAAAACGCTCAAGTGAGTTAACATCTATCTGTCTGGAATCCATCTGTCATCTGTAAACTTCAGGTGTTATGACTAAACGTTAAACATTTTTGGCTTATTCAGAAATAGCATCCTTAGGTTACAGGGATTCAGGTTTGTTTAAATAAAAATAAGGGAAGATGATTAACAGTAAAGAAAATGTGTTTTATTAAAAAATCATTACCTTAAAGATCGAGTCACTGGGTCAGAAAATACAAGACTATCTAGACAGTTTCCTTATAAAATGCTAAATATTGAAATTTTATCACATTATAGGCCCAGGAGCTAGGATGAGACCAAAAAAGGGGGTTAAAGTTTTAGGCCATTCCAAGTTTTTTTCTATGTTTAGCGTCTGCAGACGAATTAGTTTTGAGGTTATGAAATTAAAAACAAACAAAAATTAAAATTGATAAATACAAATCTTTGAAACGCAATTTACTCTTTTGGGATCAGAAACTCTCTTTTTTAAGTGGTGTTCAACAAAATATTTTGCCTCAATTAACTAGTACTTAAACTTAGTTACAATGTTAGAAGAATTCTTAAAGAATGATGAGAAATTCTAGAGTTGTGCTTAAATTGTTGTGTTTTTCCCTTATGATTGTGTGTTTTTTATGGATAGAAAGATAGGATTTCAAATTTAGGGTGGATGCTAAACAAAGAAAAAATTTGAATGGCCTTATGAGAAAGATACAAGATAATTCTTTAATATATCCTTTTCTGAAGAACAGTTGGACAATAGGATCATAATTGGTCATACAAGTATGGAAGCATGCTCAGGTAGTGCAGATTTCAATTTGTTAAAATTGCTATTAAAGTTTGTTCAAACCTTAGGCCCAGGAGTAGGACAGGGCCACAATATGGGGTCAATTAAAACTTTTTACAGGAATTACTCTGTAATTAATCTGTACATTTTAAATTGCATAGCCTCACACAATTATTTTTCTTAAAAACATTCCAAGAACAGCAAGGCCAGTGTGGCTCAGGTGTGCACTGTGGCCCATTGGCCTTTTGTTATATAATGCATGGACTATTGTATTCAAATACATGTTGAATTTGATTAGAATGACCCTATAAATCACTGCTGTATAACTGTCAGTACAGTTAATATCATTTACTGTAAATTTATACATAATTTTTAGTAGTAATTTTGAGTACCTGAAAATCTTTCTTGTTTAATCTTGACAGTTTCATCAACAGAAGCAAAATGTACCACTGGGCCATCTCTTTCACATGACACCATAGTTCCCTGTAACCCATTTACAAGCCTTTTTGTGAGATTTTTCAATAGAATAACAAGGCAATCTTTCTTCAGCCACAAAACATGTGGTGCTGGGACTCGAGACAAACAAGAAATCTCTCCAGAATCCTCTGCTAAATACTCTGTATGAATCCCTGGCATTTCAAAAAGGCATGCACTTTCTGTTGTGTCTATTTACTAATTCATTTGTTGCATATAGCTGCACACTTGATGGAACATGAAGTGGTCTGTCAAGACTGTAAAAAGGTCTTTGATTTCTGACTTAAAAAACCTCTAGCTATTTCATTGATTGTGCTTGCAAATTCAATATCATTCTGTCTCACAACATCTTTTAAAATGATACGATGAGGAAATACAGTATCGAAGAGTGGACTGAAGAAACAGAAATTCCCAGCGTCATTGTATGTAGCATTTTTACTGGGGGCAATTGCATGAAATCCCCACACAGTATTACCTGGATGCCTCCAAAACATTTTTGTTCGTCTCTCAGTGAACATACTTCTTCAAGTTGTTCAAGTAGTTTTTGTGACAGCATAGATATTTCATCCACAATTAGAACATCTGTTGCACATATTCTGTTATATACATCCTTTTTGTGGTGTTTGACTATGCTTTTAATTTCACTAGTATCATGCCTAAAACAAAGGATTCAGATTTTAAGCAAGTTCATAATTAAAGTATTAATGTGCTAGTTTTAGAATCTCATTTATAATAAATAATCTATTTTAACTGTACCTGACAAGAATGTCAGTACACATAAAATTAAGTTGCAAGTATACTGAATATGTATGAATAAAGAAATCCTGGTGGAATGTGGTCATAGCATATTATTATCATTTTCACGTTTGCACATGTATGAAATTCATTTGAATAAAAGATAGCGAATTTGAAAACAAGCAAAGATGATATGTGCTAATAATAATAATTGGTCATTATTAATATGAATTTTTACTAAAATTTATATTCAGGTTTTCCAGCAGTGGACATGTATTCAATAGCATAATAAATTAGTGTGTTGTTTATAGCTCTGACAAAAATGTAACAATGGGGTATTAATAAATACGGATAGATCTTGCTGAATAACAATGCTTCACCTCTTCAGCCCCCACCCACCCCCCACCCCCAAAAATACTTGCACCCTCCCTCCCCATATATTGGGAACCGGGAACACCAAAGTTCATTTCAATTGAGGAAAAAAAACCTGTGGCAATGGGCCTGATATAAATTATAACATAAGACAAGGGTTGACGGGCAATAAATATATGGTTTATACTTTGAAAAAATTACCTTCCATCATCTAATCCACCCCAGCTGTGAATTGTGACTGCATCAAATCTCGAAGGGAAGTTTGTACAAGCTATTCCTGTAGTGCATGTTAGTGCGATACTTTTTTTGTTTTGAAGACTCTCAAATATTTGCGAAAGAAGTACTGATTTCCCAGTACCTGATTGGCCTCCAATATACAAATTGTGGCCCTCAAGTGCGATTTTAAGCGCACGTTGCTGTACTATACTTGATAATTTTGATTACTGTTAATTTGGACTAAAATCTCTAAATTATTCAATTTCTGTCTAATTTCTACAAACAAACGAACTTGACATAAAAAAAATTCACAGCATTATCGAATTGAAAACAATAAATGAATACCAAGTAATGACAGCCATGCTTCTTCAATATCCATAGGTGTTTACGTTGAAAATAAGCGATGAGTATGGAGTTCTTCCGAAAAAATCCGCCAAACGATTGTCCAATCAGTGCGCATCTTTCATTTGGGTATTCGGGAAAAACAAAATGGCCGGAAGTTACAGACAGACAGTAAACAACGAATAATTTAATTGCATTTGCGGCTTTATGATGGACTAAATAACACATAGATAGAGTAAGTGATATTCTTTTGCGACTCTACTTGTTGATATATGTTAATGATAGTAATAGCATCGTGCATTAAGTATGTTCACTCTTGAAGCGAAAGTAGAAATCGGCCTGCCAGTAAATGTACGACCTACTTAGAAATAACAGACATGAGGGTACATCTCAAGAACTACGTAGGATCCAGTGGTGAAAATTGGTATGAAATAAGAAGAGAGTTTATTTTATTCACTGCAAGCATGAAAAAGTGGAAGTTTTGCCGTTTTGTTAAATTAAATAGCTTCTGAATCGAAGGGGTGTCAAAATTAAATGGCAGAGTTCATAACCTTCTAGGGGGTCAAAAATTCAAGCAAGTTTGGTGCCTGTGATGTAATCCTCTACAGAATCCATAATCTATACTACTATATTAAAATAATCGACTCGAATTTTTGGCCTTTAATACCGATAAATCGGAAGAGTACCGTCTTTTGTTTGATATATTTTAAACATCATTGGTACTTGAAGATTACCAATTTGTTTTTATTTTTCTCAATTAAGCTTCGCTAATTAATAATCAACGAAAATTCCTCCAAAAATTCCGGAAATCATCTGGATTTTTTGGATTTTACAATCTTGCGCGTGCGCATTACATTCACGCTAAATCACGGTGTTCAAATCAATCTCCCTTGCAGAGTTGTCGTTCGTTTCTCTCTTATACACGAATGTATGAGCCGTTGGTCGAGAGTGTGTTCAAATCAGAGAAGACAAAAGTAAATACTAAGTAGATATATATTTGTTATTGTATAATTTCTCTAATAAGAAATCATTAATGTATATGAACAGAATATATAACAAATTTCCAATGAAAATTTACACGTATTTGTCATAGGCGTCAGAACCGAGGGCTAGGGGGGGCTTAGCCCCCCCCTTTTTTTTGCAAAGATAGGCATAATATAGGCATTGAAAACTGGGGCTTACCTTTTTTCGTTTGTTTAGCCCCCCCCCCACTTTCAAAT